AACCACCACCGCCCCCGTAACCACCACCGCCCCCTCCTCCATATCCACCACCACCATAACCCCCTCCACGACGCCCGTAGCTCATGATGCTGGCAACAAAAATGGATGTCCTGAAAAAAAGAGAGCACACATATTTTATATTATAGATCTATATAATGTGGCTATTTTCACATTTCACCAGTTTGTTTCTTTTAATTTATAAATATTTACTCAATAATACAGAGCTAAAAATACAAGCATTTAAAGACAAAGAACCTATTCAAGTATTCTCGTTTTTAAAAAGTCAGGACTAAAATCAAACTGAGTAGGAAAATTAAAGACTGACACAGTTCAAATCTAGCAGACCCAGATCAAAAGTAAGAGATGTTCTGACTCTGAAGACTTGATGCTCTGTTTTACCACAAAGGTCAGGCAGCAAACAATCTTCCAGTTTTAAATTAATTAAAATCATACACAAGACTGATCGATAGTTTTTTAATACAATTACAATGTCATTCGAAATTGTTCTCAGTTTGTCTAGTTTTACTAGATTTCTAGATCTAGATCTACATTTAAGTGTTTTACGGCACTCGCAACACAATAATAGGTCATATATAAGTGCCAAAGTAGATCTAATCTAGAGATAACTAGATATCTAGAATCTAGTTAACAGTTCCATACACAATAGATCTAGATCTAGTTATAACTGTGGCCTGTTTTAGTGAATAACAGATGCAGTTCAGTAGGCTAGGCTAGGCTTGGCCTCCTATGGCATGGACAGAGCTAAAGTAAAAGGATAGATCAAGGGACAGCGGGTCATGCCAGCCTCTTTCAAGCTCGGCTCGGAGTCCTTGCCATTTCTCCAGTAGATCTACCCAAGCCCAAGAGAGTCGGAACGAATAGACCTAGAATCTAGATCTATACCCTTACTTAAAGTGATGCAACCTTGCAAAGATTGGTTCTGTAACCCACTGATAGCCTAGTTAACTTCGAGCAAAAACAAACTCATGAATGTTGTCTGCACAGTCGGTAAATCGATCGTTAGCGGGGTATCGAAAACAGGTTACTAACACTAGGTCGGAAGCGATGGGGTGCAAGCAAATAGTGAGCCTACAATTTGTAGTGAGTTCAAAATATTAGAGTAATACATGGACCACGATGATAATGAATGGCCTCGGAGCTTTAAAATGCAGAACTTTCACTAATTGCGCTGAATTTGTACACAAAAATTACCTCAATTTATTAGGTGTGTATGAGCGGCACTATCAAATCCTACCAGATAATTTTCTTAGAGGTGCCGCTCTCGGCTCTCGCACTGAGCCTTGTTACTACCGGTACTTTTAAAAACCAATCAGGGAAATTACTTTTTCAAAAAACAAATTAAATACTGCTTGCTCACTTCTAAAAACTTGAAATAATGGCACCATTAATGCTGGGGGTTTATTTAAATCTGATTGTAACAATACCATGAATCGCACCCTTACAACGACTGGTTCAAGAAGCCAATGTGGCATGTTTGACTGCTGTGTTGTTGGTTGTTGTCGCGTCTGAAACTAAAAAAAGTCCTTCAAAACGGAAAAAATGACTTACTTTATGACTAATCATTGTTTTTCAGTAAAATTTCCACGAAAATATGGTTTTTATATGGACACAATTGGGGTTCAGCCAACAAATTAAAGCTCAAAAAAATCTTCCACGTTGGCGGAAAAAATACATTTTTCTCTGATTTCGTGATTTTGACGAGCCAAGGACCTACTGTAGGCCCTTTTACCTGCTTGCGAGCGCCTGATTTCAACACGATGCCTCACGATTACATCTCTCTCTCTCTCTCTCTCTCTCTCTCTCTCTCTCTCTCTCTCTCTCTT